TGATGGCTTGGCTCTTGGCCGGTCGTAGATGCTCGGGTAGTAATTGGAACGCGTTCGCTGCTGTAAAATTTTTCACCTCGGTGGATTTCGCGCCTTTGAAGGCTTCCAATTCTTGAGCTGTCATTCGGCGTTCTGACAACTCAACCGCCCTTCGCTTCATGCTGCCCACAAAGTACGCGCCAAGGTTTCTCCACGCTTTCTCCTGGCCTCGTCCACTCTCTGGGAGTGGAATCTCAATTTCCACGGCGGCCTTCTTGTCGCTCAAGTAGGCAGTCTCTTGTGACGGCCATTGTGTGCCGGGCACATCACTCCACCAGGCCGTTGGCTTCTCTTCCGCCTGGTTCGCGTGGCTGCTGGGTCGTGGTCCGCGGCTTCGGGACCGCGGTCTCTCTCCCTCTACGTCCTGTCCGGCTGGAGTTTGCACCTCCGGCTCCTCTGGCTCCATAGCCACATCCTCTGTGGCTTCCCGGGAACTACGCTTGCCTCGTAGACGGTGTCGAACTGGTTGGACCAGGCGAAGCTCATTGGAAGATAGGGACAGTGGAAAACGCCATAAAGGGTGTCAAGGAGGTCATGCACAAGTTGTGTTTGTACGATGAGGAATTGTCAGCCACTGAGGCTTTAGCAGAAGCCATCACAACGTTCAACCACCGGGAGATTCTTCGGGGCTATTCGCCAGCTCAACACATTTTGGGTCAGGCCTCAGACGAGACAGGTCGTTTTATCACCGCCACCCAGACGGTGCCCCCGGGACTTCTGTGCGAGAACGCCACCGACGAGTTTGAGCGAGCAGTGAAACTGAGGACTGAGGCAGAGAAGGCCCTCTGCGAGTGGAATTCCAGTCAGAGGCTTTTGAGGGCCATGCACTCCCGACACAGGCCATGTTACGACTACGAGCCGGGAGAATTGGTCTTCTACTGGCGTTCCCAGGATGCCACCAAGGGAAGAAGACAACCGGGAGGCAAGCACGGACGATTCTTGGGCCCCGCACGTATCCTGGCAGTGGAGTCGCGCAAGGAGTCTGACGGCTCCTTACGGCCAGGCGGCGCCGTCTGGCTAGTCAAGGGCAGGAGTCTTTTAAAGTGTAGTCCGGAGCAACTTCGACGAGCGTCCACGAGGGAAGAAGTCGTCGAGGCCCTCTCCGAGCCGCACCAGCAGCAGACTCCTTGGACTTTTCAGACGGTGGCGCAGCAAATCGGCGGGAACCGCTTTGAGGATATCACGGAACAGCCAGATGCCACCGAGTGGAATAGAGCGCAACACCCAGAGGAAGAGCGACTATGTCAAGAAAAATGCCATGTTTGTCACACCAATCCTCAATGGCGTGACTGCGGAAGGCACCGGCAG